ATGATGAGGGCAACAACACCCAATGTCCACAGTGGCGTATACCACAGATGGCTATTGTTTGAAGGGGGTTGAAGACTTATTTGACGAATTCGATTTTGTTCCTTTTGCAATAGGTGGATCTTGTCGAGGGGTATTTCATTAATATCGATTTTTCTGAAATGATTTTGACTGACTTTAGTTATCTTAATTTCGGGTAGAAGTAAAGGCTGTCCATGAATAACGTCGATGTTATTTGAGTATCTGTTCTTCGGGGTTTGGAAACTGCAACCCTTTGGTACTTCCATAAAATAGGTACCTTTTAAAACTGCGAGATCTGACTTTGCACAGCTGATTTGGATCTTGGTTTCTAGAGGAAATACTGCAATATAGTGGGCAGAATTGATTGGTTCGATTACCTCAGAACTGATTTGTATTGGAGTAAGTTCATATGCAGGAGAGTCTTGATTATTCAATTGTAATATTTCGTGGATACAATCATCTGCATTAGCTTTGGCAATAAATTTCATGTTTGTGCAAAAATATAATGAGTTCAGATTTTTGCATTCTTCGTCCTCGTACTCATAGTTATTTCCTTGTATTGCCAGAAAAGATTTGGAGGGGATAAGGATAGAGTTATTTTGGGTAGGTATTGAATAGATGTGAAAGTAAGAATATATTTCTGGATAGGTTATAGGAAAGTGAATCACAAATACTATCCGATTGTTAGAATAATAAGAGTCTACTGTAATAACTTCATAATATTTATAAAAATTTTGTGGATCGGCACCGAACAATAAGTTACTTTCTGAATATGACTTTAATAGCAAATTTATGATAAATTCTAAATCTTCTATTTTTAAAATGCTATGGTGAACTGTTTTTAATCTCGCAAATATTATTGTGTTTTCTAAATTATTTAAGATTTCATTTAAAATTTTGAGAACTGCATGTACCTGGTCTAAGGCGTTTATTGCTAAAAAATATCCGGAAAAATCGTTTACGAATTTTTCTAGTTCGTTATTAAGATCATTAATTTTTTGAGCCATTTGTATTTCGTTTTGCTTTATTAAAGATAGACTTTTGTTGTAATCTTCGATTATTTTAGTAGTTAGGGATATCTGTTTATTTAGTGTATTTGCTATATCTTTTTGATTTGAATTTAGTAAGACAATAGCGTCGTCGTATCTTTTGCCGTCTTCGGCGTCTAGGTTTCCCGAAATACTTTTAAATATTGTACCTAGACCGTTTAAGATTCCTCTTTTAAGTCTCTTATTAGAATGAAGGTAATTTAATTTTTCTTTTCATTGTTTTATTTCAAAGGAGATTGAATTTATGTTATTTTTAAGTTCGGATGTGAATACCGCATTTTTATTTTCAATTGTTAAAATTATATTTTCGAATTGATTATTTATTTTAACAAGTTCGGTTTCGATAGGGTCTAAATCAAAATAATGGATAAAAGAATGGTATGTGGATTGTAATTTAGCATATCCTAATTTATAGGGTAATATTCCAGGGTTGGATTCCAGACTCGTGATTCTAATTTCTTGGGCTGCGATAATCGTAGCCATGATGAGGAGAATGTTGTAATAGTACATTTTTTGATTAGATAAAAAATTTTTTAAATTATTTTTATAAAGTGTAGGAAAAACTTTTTCAAATGAATTCGGATCTTTTTGTTTTTTTATTCTATTTATTTTTACTTTGGGACGCTCTTTCTTTTTAAGATGACGACAACCAAATTGTAGATCATCTTTTTTGCGTGCTACAGATTTGTGGTAGGCGAGGGTGACAGGATCATACGTTAAAGGGTTGTGAAGGGCTTCAATAGTTTTTTCTAATTTTTTACCATTTTGTTTAGTTATAAGTTCATTG